TGGGAAGCAGGATATTTCTAGGGGTCATTAAAAGGTAGGAAACCCTCCTTCTGAACTATGAATAACTCCCTTTAATTTTATATATATGGCAGGGACAGTTAGAGACAAGAGAGGACCTATGATTTCCACGTATTGAACTCTGCTAACATGAAGTTCAACTATATCCCCACCGCCTCCCTCTTTGCTTGCTACTCCTCCAGTTTTTGCACATGTAAGATGCCCTCCTTCTGAGTCCCTTTCCTAATGGCACAGCACAGGCAGCTTTTGTGAGTAGCTACTTCTCCTCCCAGCAGGCAAAAGAATGTCTGTCCTAGTGAAAATTAACTAGGGAGGCCAAAGGCTTATAAATTGCCATAGGACCAAACCAAATCCACTTTCCTGCTTTTTATATAGTATCAGCAAGATCAATGGCATTTGTTCCGAGGCCTGACAGGTATTAAATTCATCTCATCGTGCTTACTTTGTTTGTCCAATGAACATGCCTAACAATAACAGAGAAAAGACTCCTCCAAAGCCCCAAAGAAATCCAAGTCTGTATCAGAGTCTGTATATCATGGTTAGAAGTGCTCAGTGAGCTGCCTGTCTATTTCTTCCTTAAGTATTGCCAGCACTGGGGTTTCTGAAACTCTGCATTTTGAATGGCATGAAATGGAAGGATAAGTTTGTAGTGAATAAGAAGAAAGAAAAGGAATGGGCACTGATTACGTGGCTACTATGTAGTAGTTATTGTACATGTAATCCTCACAACAATCCCTCTAGGGGAGTCATTACATTGCCCATTTTACAGATGAGGAAACTGAACTTCAAGGTAGTTATTTGTCTTAGATGATGTCTTAGTCCATTTGTGTTGCTATAAAGGAGGACCTGAGGCTGGGTAATTTATAAAGAAAAGAGGTTTATCTGGTTCATGGTTCCGCAGGCTGTACTCAAGGCATAGTGTCAACATCTGGTTCTAGTGAGGGCCTCAGGTTGCTTGCACTCATGGTGGAAGGCAGAGGGCGTTGGCGTGTGCAGAGATTACATGGTGACGCCAGAGAGAGAGCGGGAAGGTGCCAGGCTCTTTTTAACTACCAGCTCTCACAGGAACTTACAGAGTGAGAACTCACTCCCCACCCTTCCAGGAAGGGCATGAATCTATCCACGATGGGTCCACCCCTATGACCCAAACACCTCCCATTAGGCTCCACCTCCAACAGCAGGGATCATATTTCAACACGAGGTTTGGAAGGGACAAACATCCAAACTATCACAGACAACACATTTAGTAAAGTGGTAGAAACAGGACTTGAAACCAGATCCGAAGGCAGAGTCTATGTGTTTTCACTAGAGCCTTTTCAGATTATAGGAAGGAAAGACTGAAGAGCCCCAGTGAGGGTGAGAAGTGAGCAAGGGTTCAGGGACATAAAGAATGCACTTAGCTTTCAAATAATCCACAGATTTTTGGTACCAGCTACATGAATGCTTGGTAGATTTCTCCTTGGTGGAGAAATCTTCCTCTATTTGTGAGCTAACCCCTAGTCCTATAACCAGAAAAAATAATGGAAACAATCTTTTCCAAATGAGGTCCAAATGAGAATCATGGATATCAAGAGGTTGTTGGTTGAGCCAGTGTGTGAATCTAGTGACCCCCCAGCACCTAAATCTCTATGCTGGGTTCCTATTCTTAACACTCACTATGTGCACTGCAATTCTTTTGAAAGAACAGAAGCTGTTTCTTTGTGAAAAATAAATGGCCATCAAATTAGTTTAAAAAGATACTTTAAATTGTGAAGGTTTTAAAATTATACTAACCTCCTTATGGAAATGTTGTTAGGGGAAAAGTCAGAAATCTACACAAACACACCTTCCTTTGTGGGGGTAAATTAGGGAATTATAAATAATCTTTGGATGTATGTTTTCCCAAGGTGTAGAGTGTGTTGTATAGAACCATCCCCCGCCCCCCCGCCACCCCGCCATTGACTGCAGCGGGGGATACACAGAGGAACAAGACATGATTAAAATCTCTGCTCCTTGAAATACACATGAAGACTTGAGAGTCGCGTGAGAGCTGGCATGGGACAGCATCTGATTAGTTACCACAGGGGAGGAGCGGACAGTAAGTTCCGCACATCCAGAGGGGACAGACCATTCAGCATGGGTGTAGAGGCCAAGAGGTTTCTATGGAGGAGGTCAAGGAAACAATCATGAATAAATTTTAGGCATGGATGGGGTGAGACAGAAGGACGAGAAGGAAGCCTTCTTGGTGTCACATGCATGTCTAGAGCCACTCTTTCTGTCCAAGCTCTACACCGCTTTATCAGTGTATTGGAAACTTTCCAATTAAGCAAATATCATTTTGAGAACATACATCTTATAAAAGCTATTTCAATTGTCCCTTCCTACCCATGGGTAGCATATCCATGGGTTCCTCATTGCATCCATGGATTCAACCAATCACAAATTTAAAATATTCAAAAAAAAATGAATGTCTGCATCTGTACTGAACGTGCACAGACTTTTTTTCTTGTCATTATTCTCTGAACAGCACAGTGTAATAACTATTTACACAACATGGACATCCTATTAGTTATTATAAGTAATCTAGAGATGATTTACAGTATGCAGGAGGATGTGTATAGGTTACATGCAAATACTACACCATTTTATGTAAGGATCGTGAACATCCATGGATTTTGGTATATGTAGGAGGTTCTGGAACGCATCCTCTACGGATACCAAGCGATGACTGTATAGTGTTGGACATATAGTAAGTATTCAAAACCTCTTTTGAATTTTAATGTTCCAGTCCTTGAAAGAGTGTCCTAATATTTCTGTATACACGTGTGTGTGCACTTGGCATGTGTGTGTTTGATGTGTAGATAGGTGGGTGGAATATCCGTCTTTCTAGAAAAGCTGAGGTTCAGGGAAGCAGAAGGACTCCTCCACCTCTGCATCAGTTCCCAGGCCCAGGATGTGCACTAGCATCGCCACTGCAATGTTGCTCAGTTGACTCTTCCCCAGTAGCTGCTGCAAGGTCCTCTTCTGTCCAAAAGCAACCACCTGGACAAACTTAAGCAACTCCCTAAATGCCTCTCAAAGATTTTGATCTCAAAGAATGCGGGGGCAGGGGAAAGATGATTAAAATAATTAGCAAATAGCTCTCCACTTCCAGATCCACAAAGCCAGGAATCCCATTGGCCTGCAGTGTTGCTGAAGTAACATCCCCAGGACTCTGACCGCCCAGACCATCAAGGCCAGGACCCCACATAATGAAAGCACCCAGGCTCCAAACCCTGGGCACCTCTCCCCTCTGATGGGCGTGAGACTATAGCTGAATGTAACTGAAGGCTGGAAGAGAAGTTATTATTCCCTAAAGAAAAGCCTCGGAAAATGTCCAATGGCTTCTAGGCCGGGTCTCAGCAGATTCCAAAGCCACCCAGCATCCCCCCATTGCCAAGGGCCTCCCACCTGTCCCGCGCTGGCCTGGCTGTCAAAACGGATGCAGATTCTCCACTGCCCATCTCGCCTTCCTGGCTGAGAAATCACCAAGATCTACACCCTAATTGCTCTTTAAAAACAAGTTACACTTTTCACTTCCTGGAGTCTGCCAAATGGCTAGTGGGGAAGAAAAAAATGTAAAGCAGAAAAAGGGAGAAAAAACAAAGCCACATTATCAGGCAGCTTTGATCTCAAGACTGTTTCATTACTGCACTCTGGGTTAAAAGGAGAAGGAGGAAAAAAAGCAACACTTCAGGCAGGAAATGTCTATTATTCAGAAATGTAATATAATTATGTGCCTGCACGGCCCGTTTATCAGCCGGCGTTTTCTGGGAAGGATGTGGTGGAGTTAGACACATCGTCTCCTCTCCTCACCAGCTCCCTCCCACCCTACAGCCCCTTTCTCCCCCCTCTTCCTTTTTTTTTTCCTCCAGGACACTTCCAGTTTCCCAGGTTTCGTGACCACTTACATGTCTTTCCTGAGTGTTTTTATATAGCGTAGGAAATTGGGTAATGAAAGCCGAGTCATACATTTCTGCTTTATGTTTCCAAAGAAGCAAGTGTGACTGTCAGGTTTACAAAAGATTGTTTATGTTCACTGGCGTGAAATGGGGAGCCGGTGTTGGGAGCAGAGAGAGAGAAAGGCCGGCCAGGCTGGGATGACAGCGGAGCATTCATCGTCCACGCTACAGCAGACAAAGCGCGGTCCCTGCCTGACAGGGACCATAAATCATGGGCGGGAGTTGCTGTACCTACAGCTTATACCATTCCAGATGACAAACACACAATAATCCACATAGCACAGGCTTTCTCCCGCTCGCCTCTTCCCCACCCAGTGCCTGTTCTCTCCCCTCTTCCTCACCTTCCTCCCACTGGCTTCCCTCATATTTTTCCTTGCACACCCTGGGGTTTCCCACTCCTCTCTCCCCTCTCCCTGCTCCTGGCTGCCTTTGCCTCTTCTCTCCCCAGCTTGTCTCACTTCCTTCCTTTCTCCTTGTTCCTTGTCTACCTCCTGCCTGGTGTGCTCACATCTTTTTTGGAAATGTCTTCTTTGTTCCTCTTCTGTTTCTCCCTCTTCTGCCTCCCTTCTTCTGCTCCTTGTTAATCTCCCTTTGTATTTGCAACCTTTATTTCCTATTTTTTTTTCTATTTTTTCTTGCTGTCTCTCTCCTCTACCTGACCCCTGCCCTCCTCTCTCCTTGCCTTTCCTCTCCTCTCTCCTCTCTCCCTCATCCCTTCCGGTTTACCCATAGCCCCAATCTGCTAAGAATAATTTGCCCTCTATCCTGCAGATCCCCTTGGTATGGAAACAAAGAGAGGAGAGGGCACATTCTCTAGCAGTGGGAGCCTCAGCACTGGAGCCATGCTGGACCCCAGAGGGAGGCCAGTCCTGGGGACAGGACAGGGGCTCTGGCTTATGACCACCTGACCCAGGCTGGGCTTCCTCCCAAGCAGCCCGAGCAACATCCAAGTGCCAGGGCAGAACCACAGCCAATCCACACAGCAAAGGAAGAGGCAGTGGGCACAGTTCCATGTTTATGAGTTGGTTCTTCTTCCCCAGATCAAGGAAACTGCTTCCTCACTTGATGCTGTTGCTAAGTTGTCAAGGGTTTATACTGAGGCAACTCCAGAAAGGCATTTTCAGTATTGGTACCTGCTCTCGGTGCGCATGACTGTGTATGGGAAGGTTGGCAAGGCAAGGAGGGTGTCTCTGTGTGTCAGAGCTCCCGTCATTTCACAGCGGTGCCAGAATTTTCAGCAAGAGCCCTGATATGAAAGATTAAATCTAAGAGGCTTCTCGTACACACCTTGTTCCATCTGTTTACAACTCAGCTCCCTCTGAAAGTTGAGTTATAAGGAAGTCCCCTCGCCCATGCCCTCTGTCCCCTGAAGAACACCCTCCTTTTCCCTGAGTAATGAGATTCTTGTGAGATAATAGGTAAAGTGAAGATAAATCATTTTGATGATTTTCGTTCAAGGATCCCTGGATCAGGGTTAGGGGCTCATTCATAAGAGGACTAGCTTGGTTAATAGCTCATTTCTGATTTAACATGAAGCACTGGGGTCATTGTTTACAATCTGAAATGCAATCTAAGTTTACATTGCGGTTTATCCAGTATTTTAAAATGCCAAACTACTTGTACTCAAGAAATCATATAGACTCAGTCTTGCCAGGCAGCTGGAGCCTCAGACTTCTGGGACCCAAAGAGGTTTAGCTCAAGGTATAAGGAGTAGTTCACAAGAATGGCTTCCAGCTCCTAGCCCAGGGATAGCTGCAGATGATCTGCTTGTCAGAGAGTGGGCTGTCCACACAGCAAGCCAGAGACCCTCACTGTGTTTGCCTTTTTTTTTTTTTTTTTTTTTTGAGACGAAGTCTCGCTCTGTCACCCAGGCTGGAGTGCAGTGGCGCAATCTCTGCTCACTGCAAGCTCCACCGCCTCCCGGGTTCACGCCATTCTCCTGCCTCAGCCTCCCGAGAAGCTGGGACTACAGGTGCCCGCCACCATGCCCGGCCAATTGTTTTATATTTTTAGTAGAGACAGGGTTTCACCGTGTCAGCTAGGATGGTCCCGATCTCCCAACCTCGTGATCCGCCCACCTCCGCCTCCCAAATTGCTGGGATTACAGGCCTGAGCTACCACGCCCAGCAGTGTTTGCCTTTTAAGGTTTGCGCAACCTCACAGTACAACAGGAAGAGTCCATTTGACTCAGAGCTGGGCATGAGCTGGAGGCGGGGAGGGTGGTGGTCTCTCAGGAGGTACTGGGATCCCACTGGTCCTTTTTCCCCAGAGCTCCTGTGGCAGTCTGCTGCCAAGATCCCGCTGAAAGGAGAATGGCCCATGTTGAAGAAAATTGGGTGACCACATTCTAGGATAATTAATGGAGCCTAGTAAGAAAGAAACCAGCAATCAAGCCAGACACGGAAAACGATCCCTCTCATGCCTCCTCCGTGAGCTATGACTTGCTGGGAAGGGAAAAGGACTACCTGGTTGGACAACCCTTAAATCGATGCGTCCTAATTAACGGAGGATTTAATTCATCAAAGTGACAGCGACTCTATTTATATCATCTCCTTCAACAGGGCTGAGGGTCGGGCTATGGGGTTTCTTACTTTTCCCTTTCCTTCTTCCTTCTTCTCTCTCTCTCCTCTCCCCGCTCTCTCCTCTCCCTCTGCCCCCTTAGCTTTTCTAATAGGGCCATGGCAAGATTTAAAGAGGAGGGTAATTTCAAGAATTGTTCCAGCATCTCCCTGAAGTCTTCTTAATAGACCCCCTCAGCCCTCCAGTTTGGCCTGGAAAATAGCACAGGCCTGTTCCAGAAGCAAGGATGACAGCGAGTGCTGCTCAGAGGCCTGGTGGGGGAAGGGAGAGGGTCTCCCCGCAGGCGGGAACATGCATCACATACCACACCACATGCCACGCTGTCACGGATCACACAGCAGCCCTGGCAGACCCTCAGAGAGCCCCTCATTTTACGGATGACGACACTAAGCTGGGAAGAGAGGGAGTGCCGTGCTCAAGACTGCGCAGCTAATCATGGAAGAGCAGGACTCAGGCCTCCCAGGAACCAGGGTTCCCCCTCCGCCCCCTACTCTGCTTGCTACCTCCACACCTCCACGTGTGGCAGCTGCTGAGAACACTCCCCTGGTCAAACAGCTCCCCACTGTGCTGGCTCCTTCCTGTGGGTGGAGGCGTCCTCTTCTGTAATCATTTTTTATTAGTATTAACTCTGCGAATTGTCATTGTTAAAAATAGTTACCGTTTATGAAATACTTACCATGGGTGAAGCCCTGAGCTACGTGTTTTCCCTAAGTTAATCTTCTCAATATTATAAGGTGGGTACTACCTTCTCACTCATATTTTAAGGTGAAGAAACAGCCTCAAAGAGATTAAATGACATGCCCAAACAGAAGGTGACTAACCGTTAAGCCCATTCTTCTAGCCACAAGCTATAATGCCACTTTTAAATCGAAATGACTCCCAGAGGGCATTAAATTAAGCTCTTTACATTTTCCTGTGGATGAATGCAACTGGAACTTTGTGTTCAAAGAGACGTTTCCCCAGCCCAGAGCTTCCTGCCACTGGAGGAAAAAGCAAAGCTTCCCCCTCGTCTCTGGTGTGTCTGAGGCTCAAGTTCTGCTCTGGCAAAGTAGATTCCAGGGTAAGGGGGATCTCCTTGTAAGGCCAACACGTATCACGCAGCCAAACTGCCAGGTAGTGGGCAGCAGCAGCTGTCCACAGGTCACCCCCAGAGTCCACAGAACCTTCTGGAAAACATCTATTTCCATCCCTTTTCTTACTCTCAATATAAAATTCCACCCAGGCTTGTCCCAAGCTTGTAAGGGCCCATGTTGTAGCTGAATTAATTGGGCCTATTAGAGTCCAGAAAAGAAAAATGAGTCCCGGTCCCTCCTACTCGGGCCATTAGTCACTCACTACAGAATCCTAGGCCCAAAGAACAGTTCCTTTCCCAGGAAGGACAGAAAGTGGGGGTGGAGAGGGAGAACACAAAACAAAATGCCAGGAGGCCCCTATGCAAGGGAGTCCCTTTCTTCTAAGTTGGGTCGTGCTCACACCCCATCCGTCAGCACCAGGATGAAAGGCCTATAAAACCAACACGGCGCCTGAGACTGTATGAAAATATATATCCTGATGTGTCAGGAATACCTGGCGCGCCTTTAACCTCAACTTCAGATGAACCAACACGCCTTGGAGCACATTTATATGCAAAGGCATATAATATGTCCCCTGTATCTAATTATCTGTCAACCTGAGGCAGTTTGTTTTCCAAATCGGCCTCTCGGCTGTGACTTTACGAGGTCATAAAGAAAACGATGCCACTCTGCACTGAAACGCAAGGAGAGCCTGGATCAACAAATTATACTCCTTAATGGTGTCTCTCGGCCTGGAGAGTCAGGCCTGGCAGGGAGAAAGGAGGCACAGACCCACCTCCCTGCTCCCTGCCTTCTGCTGAGGAGCAGAGAAAGGGGTGCATGAAGCATGAGGTAACCCTAAGAGGCCCCATAGCATCAGACGCAGGTCAAGGCTAAGTAGAAGTGATTTCCTTCTCCAGCTCAGCTTCCTCGGTTTTTCAGCTCTTTATGTGCAACGTCTGTCTGCAAAGTCTGGACACCTCCGGAGACACAACCGAGCTGGATGTCTCTGCAGTCTTCAGTATCACCTCGGGCCTTCCTGAATTGTCCTGTGCGCTGGAGCATCTTTTGCTCCTGGGATCCCAAGGATTTTTGGTTGCAGAGGGGAGACTTTTAATCCATTCCATGTGCAGCAGCTTCTGCCTTCAGGCACCCAAACATCAAGATCCTGTATTCCACAAAAAAGTTGGTTGCAGCCAGGTGCGGTGGCTCATGCCTGTAATCCCAGCACTTTGAGAGGCCGAAGTGGGCACATCACCAGAGGTCAGGAGTTTGAGACCAGCCTGGCCCACATAGTGAAACCCCGTCTCTACTAAAATACAAAAATTACCCAGGCGTGGTGGGTGGCACACGCCTGTAATCCTAGCTACTCGGGAGGCTGAGGCAGGAGAATCACTTGAAACCGAGAGGTGGAGGTTGCAGTGAGCCGTGATCACGCTGCTGCGCTCAAACCAGGTGACAGAGTGAGATTCCGTCTAAAAAAAAAAAAAAAAAAAAAAAAAACTGTTGCTTGGAAGATACTTTATTCCGCTGTTGTATCTGGGAGAAGAAGGCTTAGGTGACTCCCTTAAACTTCTAAGCAAGAGGAGAAAATTTATCCTCCCAAAGCAGGGAAGGTAGGTGGCAGCAACAGCAGCAGGAATGCTTTGTGCTCAATCGCTAGTGAGGCCATCTCTCCCCTGCCAAGCTCAGCACCACATGCGCGCGCGCGCACGCACGCACGCACACACACACACACACACACGTGCACACACAAAGCGAGAGGGCGGAGGGCTGGTCTCGCACACAGTCTTCAGCTCCTATTAGTCCTCCTCTGATCTTTAGCAGATTAATTAGGAAGTTTGTCAGAAACCAGCCGTGAACTCCAGCCGCTCCTCTCTGGGAGTGGTAACAGTGCCAGCGAAATCTAAGCTGCAGGAATTCCTCTAGCCACGCTGCTCCTATGATTAATGATAGAAAGGAATAAAAAAAGAGGGGTCAACAGCTGAGTGCAAAGCAAGTTGCTAGACAGGGAGTAATTAAGATACTTGGGTAAATATGATTAATAAGCTCAAACTGGCAGGGTGTGCAGTAAACAAGGACTAACCAGATGGTCCCCTCTCTTCGGAGAAGGCTGGGCACTTAGAAACAAGGGGGAACGGGGGTGGGGGGAGATTGAAGGAGGAGGGAAAGAAGGGCAGCTTGGAAGGTGTGATTGCAACGTTACTTTCTTTAGCTGACCCTATCTAGAGAAAAAGGTTGGGTCCCCCGGGAGGGATCAGAGCAGGGAGGTGGCTTGGAGAGGCACTCCGCCGGCCTTCTTATCACAGGCACCAGACACAAAGCTGGACATAGAAGGATTCTTGCTCAGACTCAAGGCTGCACTTCTAAAGCTGCTCTGGTCCTACTCCCTTCTCCCCCTACCCTTTCCCCACCACCGATTCCCTGCTTTTTCCCTCGTTTACCAGCAAGCTGCAGACAAGACATACAGTGCACAGGTCAGTGTCACCACATTCATTCACTCTGGCTGCAAAGTACCACGCACCCCAGACCAGGTAGCTTCAACAACAGAAACATGCTGTCTCATGGTTCTAGAGCCCAGAAGGTCAAGGTTAAGGTGCAGACAGGGTCAGTTCCCCCTGAGCGCTGTGAGGGAGCATCTATTCCAGGCCTCTCCTCCAGCTTCACAAGGGCTGCTGGCCACCTTTGGTCTCGCTTGGCTTGTACACATGTTGCCCTGGTCTCTGCCATCATCTTCTCATGGTGCTTTCCCGGTGGGTGTGTCCTTGTCCAACTTCCACGTTTTTATAAGGACACTGGTCAAACTAGGTCAGGGCCCACCCTAATGACTTCATCCAAGCTAATTATAGCTTCAAGGACACTATTTCCAAATAAGGTCACACTCTGAGGTACCGGCAGTTAGAACTTCAACATATGAATTCGGGGTACACAATTTAAGCTTTAGTAGCCATTTATAAGGTTTGAAAGCAAACCAGGTCCTACTCAGAACTGACTTGGGACCCAAAAAAACACAAAGCTGTCATAGCAATGTTGGAAGGAGGATGTGGCAAGGACCCACCCCATCTCTCAGCTCATTGCTAAAAATTATGCCTCTCCTAAGTCCTAAACAATGCCTTAGAAAGTGCATCCTTTGGTGTGTGATGTCAAGGAGACAGCTGATGCTTCCAGAGATGATGTTGAGAAAGAACCATGGTTGGGTGTCCCCTAAGATCCTGGTTAACAGGAAATATCTGCAGGTCCCAGAAAAGAAGACTCAAAAAGATTGACCTTAAATAAGTAGAGAAGTGCTAATACATTTCATCTGCAGCTGTGGGCGGCTCCATGCAAAGGACAAGGCACTGCTGGGGAGTCGTAATTAGATCCTGCTTTAAAGGAGCCTGCAATCTGTATTCTTGCATTAGTTCCCTGTGGCTGCTGTAACAGATGGCCACCTACTGGGTGTCTTAAAACCACAGACTTATTCTCTCACAGTTCTGGAGGTCAGAAGGCCAAAATCAGCATTGCTGGGATGAAATCAAAGTGTCAGGGGGCTGTGCTCCCTACGGAGGTGCTGGGGGAGTCTGGTAGCCCCTACATTCCTTGGCTTGTGGCCTCATTCCTCCAGTGTTCAAGGTCAGTGTCTTCATATTCACATCTCATGTTCTGTCTTCACATTGCACTCTCCTCTGTGTGTAAAAGCTCCCTCCGCCTCCCTTGTGTAAGGATACATATGATTTCATTTAGGGCCTGGCTGGATAATGCAAAACAATCTTTCCATCTCAACATCCTTAACTTAATCTCATCTGCAAAGACCATTTCTTCCCAACCTTCCATAATTCCCATAACATTTTCTTCTTCCAATGACTTCTCTCAACTGATCTGCATGGAACTGGACGGCCCAGTCTCTTCCTTACTCTCACAGATAAGGAAAGCCAGGCCCATGGAGGGCAAAGTGTACTTCTCGGAAAGTCCAAAGTCAGGGTTGGGTGAGGACTTCGTGGGGACTTAAACTCTTCCTATAAATCAGTTCCCTATCTTTTGTATATCACATATCTATTTTAAAATATTTTTTAAAGAGGGTGTTGAAAATGATAGGATTGCCAACGTTTTTATTTGGCCAAGTAAAAACATTAAAAAAAAACAGCTCCCATATATTTATACTTCTTAAAGAAAGACATCTTAATTTGAAAAAGCAAAGTAAGAAAGATTAATCTCAGAACAAAGTATAGTCCTCCCAAAAAGATGATTGGCAACTCTGCACCCTTTGCACGCTCCACATTGGTATTCATTTTATTGTGCCCAAGGTTGTAACAATTCATTAAGGGCCTGCTATTGAAAAAAATCCTTCTGTGCACCGTAAACTTATTTTCAGTGGATGATTCAGTGGGGCTTCTCCCAAGGGAAGTGCCCACAAATGTGAACTCCACAGAGACTCAGGGGAGAAAAAGGAGGAGCTTCATCAGCCCTGCTAAGAGGAGGCCTTGTTCTCATCCTCCTGCCCCATGGGAAACATTCTCAAGCCCCAAAGGCAAGTGGGGCACTGGCCAGACCAGGCTAGGGCCAACCAGACCATGCAGCCCAGCCGCCAGGGCGCCCAGCCTCCTCCCTACCTTTGGCAAGTCACAGACCTTTCTCTCAATTGCAGAGCTCAGCAAACATCCTCAGAATGTTTCTTGCATTCTGGGATTTTGTCTTCACAGAGATGCACTTAGTAGGAGTGTGATACTCTGGCTGGTGAAGAACTTCCTGGTGTCTTCCTCTTTTCCCCCTGAAATAAAGTAAAGTAATTATAGGACGGGTGCGGTGGCTTACACCTGCAATCCCAACACTTTGGGAGGCCGAGACGGGTGGATCACCTGAGGTCAGGAGTTTGAGACTGGCCTGGCCAACATGGTGAAACCCCGTCTCTACTAAAAATACAAAAAATTAACCAGGCGTGGTGGTGCGCGCCTGTAATCCCAGTTACTCAGGAGGCTAAGGCAGGAGAATCACTTGAACCCAGGAGGTGAAGGTTGCAGTGAGCAGAGATCACACCATCGCACTCCAGCCTGGGTAACAAAGAGTGAAACTCCATCTCAAAAAAACTTTTTAAAAAGTTTTAGAAAAGTGAAGTAATTATAAACCAAAAAAAAAAAAAAAAGAACAGCGTCTTCACAGAATAATACTGTGGGAAAGACTTTCTATTGAGAACTTAACTGCCCTTCCAAAATGGCAGTCTCCACCCCTTTCCTTGCTAAATGCTTTTCTCCCAGACAGGGTGACAATTCTGATGTGAAGTCCCAAATCTGACCAGTGAGCATGTGTGGGAGAAGTTCAGCAGACATCTAATTTATCCCCATAATGACACGGGAGATATGTCCTCCCTCTCTCCGGGGCATTACCACTTGGCAGGAGGAGATTTTATTCTCAATAGCTCGTTTACTTTCCTCCCAATTTGTCATTTGTAACAATAGAATCAGGATCAAGCCGATGAGATCAGATGCTGTACCAAGTCAGGAAGGATGCAACCTCACAGTCTCTTACAGAGTGGCCAGGACAGGGCAGCCACTGTCATCACCTGGCTACCTAAGGCTCTGGGCAACCTTCTCACCGAAAGGGCTGTGACAGCAGTAGAGCAGTGGCTGCCAAGATGGTTGGATCACTTCACTCTTTAGTGCAAGATGAGGACCTAAGCTCCAACCAGCCCCCATGAAAACTTAAAAAAAAAAAAAAAAAAAAAAAAACAAATAATTAGGAAACAGATTGAAAAGGCAGGCTTTAGACAAAAGTATGGGCACCAGATGTATGCCCAGCACT